AAAAAAAAAAAAAAAAGAGATAAGGAAAGGGAAAAAAAAGGAGAGTGAAAAAAGTGACCCTTTAAGAGTTTAGCTGGTGTTTTTATCAGAGATAGTGTTTCTTGGACTCTTCTCCATTAAAAAAGTGGCCAGATATAGTGACTCATTCTTGATCCTAACACTTTGGGAAGCCAAGGCAGGAGGTTTTCTTGAGGCCAGGAGTTCAATACCAGCCTGGGCAGCATAGCAAAACTCTATTGCTCCAAAAATGATTTTTTTTCAGATTAGCTGGGTACAGTGTTGCACACCTGTAGTCACACCTACTTTGGGGGCTCAGGCATGAGGATCACTTGAGCCCAGGAGGTAGAGGTTGCAGTCAGCCAAGATCTCACCACTGCATTCCAGCCTAAGGGACAGAGCAAGACCCTATCTCTAAAAAAATTTTTTTAAATTGCCCTTGGAATTATGATTCATATATATTCCCTATGGTTTCCAGGATATCAAGAAAAGAAAAAAATGGAGGCAGAAAGAGAGAGAAGAAAAGGAAAAATTGAGAAAGAATGGAAGAAGGGCAGGGCGCAGTCTCTCACATCTGTAATCCCAGCACTTTGAGAGGCCGAACGGGGAGATCATCTGAGGTCAGGAGTTGGAAACCTGCCTGGCCAACATGGTGAAACCCCATCTTTACTAAATTTGTAACTATCTTGAACAGACATATGAGGAAAAACAGTTCATTGTCTCCAGCATCAAAGGAATAAACCAAAATGTTGATCTTGAAGAGCCAACACTTTGCCAAGAAGCCTCCACAGTGTGACCTCATGGGGCCTCCACCAGCACAGTGTCAGAATTAAGGCATCTGAGGCCGGGTCACTTTCTTGCGGAGGCCTCACTCAAAACGTGGCGTGGAGTGATCAAAAGACATTGATGTGACAGCTCCTCACCAGATGTCCTGCTCCCACTCTTGCCTCTCCATCTCCTGCAAATTCCGCCTCCCAGGTTCGAGCAATTCTCTTGCCTCAGCCTCCCAAGTAGCTGAAATTACAGGCAACTGCCACCATGCTGGGTGAATTTTTGTATTTTTTAGTGGAGACAGGGCTTCACCATGTTGGCCAGGCTGTTCTTGAACTCCTGACCTCAGGTGATCCACCTGCCTCGGCCTCCTAAACTGCTGGGATTACAGGTGTGAGCCACCATGCCTGGCCTTTTGTTTTTGTTTTTGTTTTTGTTTTTACAGATAAGGTGTAGCTCTGTCACTCAGGCTGGAGTGCAGTGGTGAAATCATGGCTCACTGCAGCTCTATCTCCTGGGCTCAGATGCTCCTCTCACTTCAGCCTCCTGAGTAGCTGGGACTACAGACACGTGCCACCACATGTGGTTATTTTTTTTTTTTTTTCAAGGTGGAGTTTTACTCTTGTCCAGGCTGGAGTGCAATGGCCTTATCTTGGCTCACTGCAAACTCTGCTTCCCAGATTCAAGCGGTTCTCCTGCCTCAGCTTCCCGAGTAGCTGGGACTACAGGCATTCACCACCATATCTGGCTATTTTTTTCTCTTTTTAGTAGAGATGGGGTTTTGCCATGTTGGCCAGGCTGGTCTCAAACTCCTGATCTCAGGTGATCCACCTACCTCAGCCTCCCAAAGTGCTGGGATTATAGGCGTGAGCCACTGTACCTGGCATAACTGGTTAAATAAAAGTTATTTTTGCAGAGGCAGGGGTCTCTGTATGTTGCCCAAGCTGGTCTTAAACTCCTAGCCTCACGTGATTCCCCACCCACTTCAGCCTCCCACAGTGCTGGGATTACCGGCATGAATCACCATGCCCAGCCTCATTTTCTTTTTAATTAACTCAGTTTCAATTTTCTATTATAGAAATACCATCAAATAGAAAATGTCAATGTTAAGTAGGATTTCCATGAAAAGGTGGCAAATCACAAAATCTCCATTCCTTGATGCTTATTCATACCTTTTACCTTTTTTATTTATTTTTTTATTTATTTTTGAGGTGGAGCTTCATTCTGTTGCCCAGGCTGGAATATAGTGGCACAATCTTGGCTTACTGCAACATCTGGTTCACTGAAAACTCCACCTCCCAGGTTCAAGCCATTCTCCTGCCTCAGCCTCCCAAGTAGCTGGGATTATAGGTTTGCACCACCACACCCAGCTAATTTTTGTATTTTTAGCAGAGATGGGTTTCACCATGTTGGCCAGGCTGGTCTCGAACTCCTGTACCCGCCTTGGCCTCCCAAAGCACTGAGATTACAGGCATGAGCCACCTTGACCAGCCCCTTAATACTTATTCATTCTAATAACATTTATTGTGTGCCTACTATGTGCAATTACTAGATTAGGTTCTAAGAATGAACAAGATGAGATTCCTGCCATAGGGAGTTTCTGTTCTGATTCAGTGTGAATTTGAAAGGAGAACATGCAGACAAGTAATTCAATAAATAACAAGCTGAATTTTGAGTGTGATATCTGCTTTGAGAGAACCAGGCAGGATGAGGCAATGCAGAGGAGGATGATTCCCCCTTCATGGGGTGAGGAAGAATTTCTCTGCAGCAGTGATGTGTGAGCTGAGGTCTGAAACATGAGAAAAATCCAGCTATGGCAGGAGGTGTGGGAAGTCCACTTCAGGCAGGGAAGAGCATGTGCAATGGTCCTGAAGAGGGAAACCACCTGGCATTTACAGGAGCAGAAAAGAAGCCCAGATGCCTGATGCACAATGAGTAAGAGGAAAAGAATAGAGGTGGCAGGCAGGGTCAGATCATGCTAGGATTGGTTTGTTTTTTAAAGGGACATGGTCTCATTCTGTCACCCAGGCTGGAGTTCAGTGGGACAATCATAGCTCACCACAGCCTCAACCTCTCCTGGGTTCAAGGTATTCTGTCATCTCAGCCTCTCAAGTAGCTGGGACTATAGGCATAAACCCCACCAGGCCTAGCTAATTTGTTTTTCATTGTTATTAGAGACAGGAGTCTTGCTGTGTTGCTTAGGTGGGTCTCAAACTCCTGGACTCAGGTGATCCTCCCATCATGACTTCAAAAAGCACTGGAATTACAGGTTTGCACACTGCATCTGGCCAAGATTGGGGGTTTAAAAATGCTTTACTTTTAATTTTTCTGGATATATAGTAGGTGTATACATTTATGGGGTACGTGAGACTTTCTGATACAGTCATGCAGTGTGCAATAATCACATCTGGGTAAATGGAATACCCCTCACCTTAAGCATTTATACTTTCTTTGTTTTACAAACAATTCAGTTATGCTCTTTTCCTTTTTTCTTTCTTTTATTTATTTATTTATTTATTTTTTCTGAGACGGCGTGTAGCTCTGTCTCCTGGGCTGGAGCGCAGTGGTGCAATCTCGGCTCATTGCAACATCCACCCCACCCCACCCCCAGGTTCAAGTGATTCTCCACCCTCAGCCTCCTGAGTAGCTAGGACTACAGGTGCACACCACCAATCCCAGCTAATTTTTGTATTTTTAATAGAGACAGTATTTTGCCATGTCAGGCTGGTCTCAAACTCCTGACCTCAGGTGATTCTCCTGCCTCAGCCTCCCAAAGTTCTGGGATTACAGGCATAAGCCACCATACCTGGCCTCTTTCAGCTATTTTAAAATATACAATAAATTATTGTTTACCATTATCACTCTGTTGTACGACCAAGTACTACATCTTATTCATTCTAACTGTATTTTTGTACCCATTAATTATTCCTGTGCACCCCTGCAGCCCACTACCCTCCCCAGCCTCTGGTAACCATCATTCCACTCTCTATTTCCATGAGTTCAATTGTTTTAATTTTTAGCATCCACAAATGACTGGGAACATGCAAAATTTGTCTTTCTGTGTCTGGCTTATTTTAGTTAACTTAATGATCTCCAGTTCTACCCATGTTGTTGCAAATAACAGGATTCTATTCGTTTTTGTGGTGGAATAGTATTCTATTGTGTATATGTACCACATTTTCTTTATCCATTCACCTGTTAATGGACACTTAGATTGCTTCCAAATCTTGGCTACTGTGAATAGTGTTGCAATAAATATAGAAATGTAGATATTTCTTTGATATACTGATTTTCTTTCTTTTGGGTATATACCCAGCAGTAGAATTACTGTGTCATAAAGTAGTACTCTTTTTAATGTTTTGAGGACCCTCCAAACCATTCTCCATAGTGATTGCACTAATTTACATTCCTCATTAGTGTTTGTTACTGCCTGACTTTTGGATATAAGCCATTTAAACTGGGGTGGGATGTTAGCTCATTGTAGTTTCAATTTGCATTTCTCTGATGATCAGTGATATTGAGCACTTTTTCATATATTGGTTTGTCATTTGTATGTTTTCTTATGAGAAATGTCTATTTTGATCTATTGCCCATTTAAATCAGATTATTAGAGCTTTTTTTCTATTGATTTTGTTTCCCCTGAGCTCCTTATATACTCAAGGGTTATTAATCCCTTGTCAGATGGATTCAGGATTGGGTTTTGTCTTTATTTTACACTCAATTCTAAACCATTAAATGCTGTCAAGTGGAGAAGTGACATAATATTTATATTGGGAGATGACTTTGTGTATTTTCTACCTATTGCTATGTAACATACCAGCTGGGCATGGTGGCTCATGCCTGTAATCCCAGCAGTTGGGAGGCCAAGGCAGGTGGATCACGAGGTCAGGAGTTAGAGACCAACTTGGCCAACACAATGAAACCTCATCTTTACTAAAAATACAAAAATTTTAGTAGTCAGGTGTGGTAGCACATGCCTGTAATCCTTGCTACTCAGGAGGCTGAGACAGGAGAATCACTTGAACTCTGGAGGCAGAGGTTGCAGTGAGCTGAGATCATGCCACTGCACTCCAGCCTAAGGGACAGAGTGAGACTCCATCTCAGAAAACAAACTAACAAACAAACACACACACACACACACACACACACACACACACGAACAAACAACAACAAAAAACCACCCCAAGGTATAAAATCACAATGATACTTATTAGTCTTCTCACAATTCTGGAGGCTGACTAGACTCACCTAGGCAGTTCTGGCTTAGGATGTGGTTGCCTTCAAAAAATATGGGGTTAGAATAGTCTTGAAAGTTTCCTTGCTCAAATATCTCCTGGTTAATGTGGGCTGTCAGCTAGGGCTTCAGCTGGGGCTATCTGGTGGAACACCCACACGTAACCTCCCTACATGGCCTGGGCTTTCTCACAAAATGGTGAATGGGTTCTAAGCGCCCCCATCCCAGGAAGGAGAGCCAAGTGGAAGCAGTATCATCTTTTATGACCTAACTTCGGCAGGTCATGAGCAACACTTCCACTGTATTCTACTTACAGAAGCAAGGCACTAAGTTCATATTCAAGGGAAGAGATGACAAATGTAAAAAAAAATTGCAGACAACTATTCACAATAGTGAAGAATTGGAATCAACATAAATCTCCTTCCATCAATAGAAAAAATAAAGAAAATGTGACAGCCAGGTGTGGTGGCTCATACCTGTAATCCCAGCAATTTGGGAGACCAAGGTGAGTGAATCGCCTGAGGTCAGGAGTTTGAGACCAGACTGGCAAACATGGCAAAACCCCATCTCTACTAAAAATACAAAAATTAGCCAGGTGTAGTGGTGTACACCTGTAATCCCAACTACTTTGGGAGGCTGAGGCAGGAGAATCGCTTGAACTTGGGAGGCAAAGGTTGCAGTGAACCAAGATTGCACCACTGCACTTCAGCCTGGGTGACAGAGTAAGACTGCTTCTCAAAAAAATAAAATAAAATAAAAAAAACAAAGTGAATCAGAGGATAAATGAGCTACATTAAAGCAACTGAAAAAAAGTTATGGAAATTAGAGATAGTAGTCAAACACTGGGTTGTCAATTGGTGACCCTGAGTTAGAGAACCTAAAAAAAAAAAAAAAAAAAGGCAGGGCTGGGCACGGTAGCTCACACCTATAATCCCAGTGCTTTAGGAGGCTAAGGTGGCAGGATAGCTTGAGGCCAGGAGTTCAAGAAAAGCCTGGGCAACATAGCAAAACCCCATCTCTAGAAAAGTAACAAAAATTATCCAGGTGTGGTGATGCATGCTGGTAGTCCCAGCTACATGGGAGGCTGAGGTGGGGAGATTTTTTGAGCCCAGAAGTTCGAGGCTGCCGTAAGCTATGATGACACCACTTTGTTCAAGAACCTTGGTGACAGACCAAGGCCCTGTCTTGAAAGAAAGGAAGAAATGTAAGAATGAAGGAAGAAAGGAAGGAAGGGAGAAAGGAAGGGAAGGATCGAAAGGAGAGAGTGAAAAAGGAGGAAAGGAAGGAATGCAGAGATAGAGAAGTACAAATCAGTAGTCAAAGGGCACACCATATACCTGGAAAAACTAATACGGAATGACTGGCCTAGAGCCATCTGGCTAAGCTATTGAACTTCAATGATTAAAAAAAAAAAAATTACTCCACTGGTTTCAGCAGGAAAACATAACGCATATGTGAGAAGAACCTCCAGCCAGCCTCAGACCTTCCCATAGCCCCAGCCAGAACCAGACAACAACAGAGTCAGAACTTAAAGAACTAAAAACACAGAAAATGAATCAAGAACATTCTCCCAAGAAAGATGTCATCCAAGTATACATGCATTAAATAGAAAATCTCAAATATGCACCAATTTCAAAAATAGGAAATAGATTTTGAAGCAGCTGTAGATGAAAATAGAAACTGCAGATTAAAAAGAATTATGACACTTTTGTCTCTTTTCATAATTTTAATGAATATTGAATGAAAAGGTATCACTTGCACATAGGCATTTATCTGAAATTCAGAAATGTTGCCACCTTGCTTCAGCTTCTGTTTCTTGAGATTCTGTGGTATCAAGCACAATAAAAGTTATATATATTTAAACTAAAACACACACAAAATACGTAGTTTTCATCCATTTATTTATCTTTACCTATTTGCACAAAAAGAGTTTTGAATTAATTATCACCTTTTGTTTGTTTTTGTTTTTGTTTTTGTTTTTGAGACAGTGTCAAGATGTTGCTTAGGCTGCAGTGGAATGGTACAATCTTGCTCACTGCAACCTCCGCCTCCCAGGCTCAAGCAATTCTCACCCCTCAGCCTCTTAGGCAGTTGAGATTACAGGCACCCACCACAACGCCTGGCTAATTTTTGAAT